GAATTTTATTGAAAAAAAACATTTAACTTTTTGCATGTGAGACCCGCGATAGAGCTTTTAATTATAATTTTTTAAAAATTCAAGAATCTGAGAAAGAGTTTAAAATTACTTGAACAAAGAAAGAAACAAATTATATTTTGTTGAATAGCATAATTTATCGTTAAATGTCAACGATCGTCGATGATCCTTGAAAAGTTAAGGTTTCGGGGATGCAACTTCGACTTGGCGCATTTAAAGCGCTCGATATCCGAGCCTCTTCCTTTTAACACCGTGAAATTGATCGACGCTCCACGGATTTTAGCAGCTTTCATATATCCGTAAAATCTTCGTCAACCCGAAAATCCATCCATCAAAATCGGATGACGCGCGCGTAGAAAGAGAGAGAGAGAGACAGACATAGAGGAAAAGGAACCAACTATGAAAATTCCTTCCGCAAATTTTTCGACGTTGATCGGCGCGATGTCAGTACGTGCGCGCGTTTATCAGACGCAGCGTTGTGTAAAGCGTTTCCGTTCGCTGGACCCGTCTGGAATTTCGCGATTGTGAGATTCGGTTTTGCGAAGATATCGATCTCGGGATAATTCCCCGCAGCACTGTCGATTTGCCGTTTCATCGATAATTCATTAACCCAGAAATGGATCGGGTGAATATATCTCAGGTCAATATGGTGCAGATTATAATGATCTTGGGCCAATTTGAATCTGATGATCGCAGGTTTATTGCCGACCGATCGATAATTTCCACCATTTGAATACACCAACAAATGATGCAAGACTCTATTTGATTTGTGTTGGCTAATATTTGTTAAAACATATACTTGAGAAAGATATCAGTCGTTACATCTAATGCAAACCAATCTAGGAAATTAGGAAAGTTTAATGCATACATTATTTAATTATTAAAGTATTACATTAAAACAAGAATATGTAACAATTTTGTATTCTTCAAACATTAGTTTCTCTACAATTACAATATGATATCTTTACCGTTATTTATATCACAGAGTTCAAAAACATAATTAATTTAAAACCGTTACTTAATAATATAATATATACCCATTCTCAATCTTCGCCTGATATATACCGTCGCCAATCACGGATTACGGGATAAAGTTTCTCGCAGCCAGAAAATATCCCGACGAATAAATTCGGCGGCCGTCCCGACGCGTATTGTGCGAGCTGAAAAGTTACAGGGGATGATATAGCCTCGCGGCGCACCGTAATAGAACTTATAAGGTGGATATAGGAAAGTTGCTTTCTTCGCCAGAATTCCAGACTTTCCCCGGGACTCGTTCGAAAATCACTTCATAACCTTCGATCGTATCCCTAAACTTACAAATTGTCCGCAGAACTGTACTTTCCGAAAATACCAAGACATAGTATCGTTTTTCTGCTCTGTCTCGCCGATACAGATGATATATCCGCGCCCGAGAAAAAAAGAATCATCACATCGATTACTTTAATACTTGTACATTTTGTCTGATATGCAATAACGTGAACATTTTTTGCTGTTTTGATTTAAAAAGTTTCTAAGTTTGATCTATCACACACACATAAAGAGATACAAGTATATCTATGCATTTGTGCAATATAGTTACTTATTTATTTGTATTATTAATTAATGTAACAATATAATTAAAAAAAATAAAAAAGAGATTTTGCAGAATATCGGTGGTTAAACAACACTGTTGCATAGCACGATTTATGAACAGACTTTTTAACTTTCGTGGGAACAATAATTTACGGATCCCATGAGAGCGAGTGGTCCGCGCTTCGCTCTACGTTAACTAATAAGTCGCATTGCCATATAGACAGATGGTCAGACCATTGCGGTTTGCGAGATGTAGTTGGTAACATCGAGGAGGAATCATTTGGGGATATTAAACGTAGTTAACGATCCATAAGCTTCTCTGAAATAACCGCTATACACGGAATCGCTATAATTAAAGTCGGTCTGATATATTAGATTACTTTATTAGTTAAATTTGATTTTATAGACATATAATATTATTACATATTTATACATATAAAAAAATTTTTTATTTACTTTGTAGTCTAATTTTATGAAAAATCACATGATGTAGCTGACAATTAAGAAATGACAATTTTTCCTTTGTCATTCGTATAAAAACACAAATTTAAAAAAAAATTAAATTTCTTGTTAATGTATTAAAAATTAAATTCGCAATCGCATATGTTATGTTGTCAAAAACGCGCATACCCGCACATTTCATACAGTCATAACGCTCGATATTTGCATTGGCATGATCAAATCTTGCGGATGAATGCAAAACACGCACAATCTGCATATAATGATCAGCCAATGTTAGCAATATTGGAACGCAACATCCATTTTCAAACACACGTGCCAAATTGCTTGGATCTAGAATACGATATATAACTTTATAATGCCGTTTGTGTCATATCATTTGTCAAATAGAACGGAATATTGGTATCACTCGCTGCCTGTTGCGTATATACGTTGTACTTCCATCAGCGTCACATGGTAAGAAAATAAAAAAAAAAGATACAGATGAATCAAACAAAGAGAATATTTTAATTTTACAATAACAGAATATATCAAATTTCATATTATATAATTAATCAGTTTGCGTATTTCAATAACTAAACCGTTGCTAACAGTATTGCTTTCTTTTTACTGTACATTAATCGTTGATTTTACAGACGATCTGGACGCAATAAGATACCTTTGTCATTCGTATAAAAACACAAATTTAAAAAAAAATTAAATTTCTTGTTAATGTATTAAAAATTAAATTCGCAATCGCATATGTTATGTTGTCAAAAACGCGCATACCCGCACATTTCATACAGTCATAACGCTCGATATTTGCATTGGCATGATCAAATCTTGCGGATGAATGCAAAACACGCACAATCTGCATATAATGATCAGCCAATGTTAGCAATATTGGAACGCAACATCCATTTTCAAACACACGTGCCAAATTGCTTGGATCTAGAATACGATATATAACTTTATAATGCCGTTTGTGTCATATCATTTGTCAAATAGAACGGAATATTGGTATCACTCGCTGCCTGTTGCGTATATACGTTGTACTTCCATCAGCGTCACATGGTAAGAAAATAAAAAAAAAAGATACAGATGAATCAAACAAAGAGAATATTTTAATTTTACAATAACAGAATATATCAAATTTCATATTATATAATTAATCAGTTTGCGTATTTCAATAACTAAACCGTTGCTAACAGTATTGCTTTCTTTTTACTGTACATTAATCGTTGATTTTACAGACGATCTGGACGCAATAAGATAATTTCAATCAGTGCACACGGTTGAAAAAACTCGCCACGCTTGACAGACGCGTAAACAACACAAAGTTATGCGTCCCTTTGTAATCCATATCGCTAACGATATGGACGTCTGACCTATATTCCGGTATTCTACTGCGTCGGGCACTGTGCGAATCGAAAGCGTCGAATGTCCAAAAAATCGATCGCGTTTGCCGAAGCGAACAGGTCCTGAGTAACTCGGAGCTGCAAAGCTGTGACGCAAGCGTTGCATACATACACATATATACACACATATGTATATGTGTACATCAAATGCAAGAGCGATATTTCATTTCCTCACGAATATTTTTGTGGAAAAGAAAGAGAGAGAAAGAGAGAAAAAGAGACACGACTGAAAATGTAGATAACGAGCATAATACCTGCCTACCAATGTAATCATTCCGAACGGATCGTCGCCGATGAACACCTGGTATACGGCTTCTTTAATCTTCCCGGCGTGTGACGTAGACGAGCGAGAGTGAATGCGCTTCGAGAGGAACGAGCGCACCGCAAAAGGATGTACCTCGTAGGAGGAAGCGCTAAATATTCTTCCAATCTCAGCTTTAACCGCGCACCGGAGGGAAGATTGCGCCGGATTAAAGGGACGCGCTGGGCTCTTTCTGCCCGGATTCCGAGCATCGGATCTCGGAATTGCGAAATCCGCAATCGCGCGGATACGTCCGCAAACGCCTCTCTCCGACGCCCCAGCCCTTTCGCGTAATAAAATCCGCAAATCGGATGTTTACAGAGGGTTTCCCTCTCCCCGAGACTCGAATGTATCTCTCCCGTCTCGCTTCTTTTCTCACCTCATTTTACTTTGAAAATACTCGCTGCTGTCCAGTTGAGCTAATTCATGAATATGCTGATTATTATGAATGTGCGATTCCGCGAACGCTGCTGATAATGCGTCGTTTCCGCGCGTTCATGGAAATTGTAAGATCCGATAGAGAGCCGAGAATTAATGAGATCGCGAGAATATCCACGATTGCATCGTCATCGTTTTCAGCAACGGAGACTCTTTGCAACGCGACGCTTCACAGACAAAGTGTTCGTGTTTCAATTGGCATAATTTTTATTTCTGATTTGCAACCAGTAATTGATATAATTAGTGCAATCGAATACAACGTAATAATTTAACATTATTCACGTTAATATAGTTTAATTTAATTTAATTGTATTTCAAAGAAACGGATAGCTGTGACAAGTGGACGATAAAGTTATTACTTTAATTATTCAAGTTTTATTTTCCTGTACTAATTTGAAAACATTAAACTTTACTATTCTGTTTATTTTTAGAACTCACAGTTTTTAAAAATTTTGATCTAGAATTTTTGGAAAAGTAAGCTAATTGCGTTATCAATTTAAAATAAAATTACGATATGTTAAAATTATTTACAGTAATATCTTGTGTAAAAAAAACAAAAAACAAAAGAGAAATGCTAAAATCTCATGATTATACTAATGCCGATGTACACATCTGATATAAATAAATAATATTTTGTTTTATTCAACGTTTTATCATTGATGTATATAAATATATTGACCACTAATTACTAAATAAAATGTGTTTTTGATGTTGTTTCTGCATATAAATAAAAATAGCTTATTTTATTATATCTTAAAGATAAACACAACAATTTAAAATATTTGATATTTATAAATTCTGTAAAATGTAAATTTATAATTTTTTTATATTTTTATTTTATGTTGCAATATTAAATCTTGTCTTCCAAGATTTTACATTTGTCGACATGTTAGCAATAACCGGTTAAACAGTTAGAAATACTTTGATGTACCATTGGAATGAAGCAATATATAAAAATCAAAATACATAAATTACATTATAAAATTTATTAAATTTCGCTTAATTATATTACAGAATTTAGAATCTGTATGGACCACTTCTATTTACACACAAAAGCTATTTGAACTTTGGATTTAGAACTTTAATACTTTAACTATTGCTGGTAAAATGTAAGCATTCTTACTTACCATATCGACGAGATATATTTAAAGATTACCAACCTTAGGTAACGCTTTGTCATTATTAACAAAGTCGGTTCAGAAATAATCTAAGAAGACTAATTAAAAACAAATATAATTTTGTAAAAATATGCAATATATGTATATTACTATAAAAAAAAAAAAAAAAATTGGAAACACCACACGTTAAAAATTGAGCTATTTTTTAACCGCTGAAACTCAGTTAAAAATCATTGTAGACAAAACATTAAAAAACCATTTTGAGGTTTCCACTTTAATACGCTATTGTAATAGTTTTTTTAATTTTTTATTAAAATTTTTTAGCAAAATGTCCTTAAGCATTTAGTTAATGTTACTTTGAGCAATTGTTAAACTCTTCTCTATGAATCTTGGTAAGACGAAAGCAGCTCGATGTACCTTGTCATTATAGTATTTTATTTCCATTCGATCGAGATCTTCTTCATTGAATATCCTCATTGGTTCTGCAAAATTTGATTGCTAAAAAAAAAAGCAATTAAAAGTTTATTAAATCTATTTTCAAAAGATCGGTTTAAAGATTGATGCGACACAAAATTTATATTAAAAAGAAAATTTGTCTAGATCGTATTTCTATTCATAAATACAAGTATTTTTAATTTGTATTTTCTCTTGTTCATATATACAAGATTAGATTTTTTTAAATGTTTTCCCGTATTATAGTTAGATAGTTCTTATAGTTTTTATTTTACTTGAGCAATCAAACCTCATTCATAATCGAAACTATTACAGTCACAAATGTTTATATAATTATTGCAAATTTATGTCAAAAACTTGACTTCCAGATATTGCAGAAATTGCATCGAATTCTCTTTTCTCTCCCCTTCCCTCCCCCTTTCTATTAATAATCAATCACACAATCAAGTTCTCCTTCTCCATAGAAAAATACAAAAAATATTTTTCTTTTATTGTCATATATTATACCATGTTTAATACTAACGCTGTTTAAGCTCCCAAGGATGAAACCGATTTGACCCGTGGGGTATGTCGGTACTGCTGTTACTGCGTAGGTGGCGACGGGGAATACGGTTTTGCAATGCTGGAATGTACTCTGCACTTGTTGCATGCTTTCCCATACCGTACCAGCCTGGCTGGCAATGATTCCATCAGATTTCAATGCTGCCCTCAGTAATTCATAATACGGTTGCTTAAAAAGATGTTCAGCAGTAAAAAATTATTAGTATTATTTATAATACTGTTTCTCTAAGAAATCGTACACTTCTTTTTCGTATGAAAATTATGCATTTATCTTTATTATAAGATATTAGAGAAGTATGCGCGAGATTACTTGCCTACGGGATCGCTGCTGTCAGTGATAATGACATCGAATTCTCCACAGTGATTTCTCAAAAATTCGAAACCGTCGCCAACAACAACAGTTACTTTAGGATTGTTAAGACCCAGACTCAAGCGAGGCAAATATTGTTTACAGACCTCGATAACTCTGTCGTCAATGTCCACTAGCGTGATACGTTCTACGTCCGGATGTTTCGCGATTTCTCGAGCAGCTCCACCATCGCCACCTCCGACTATTAAGATCTATAATATGACAGATTATATTTGCCTAAAGATACTAATTATATACAAGATTTCTTTATTATATATTCAAAAAATATTAATAATACGAAATATATAATATACATATATATAATATTTGACTTAATATGGTCATTGATGTGATCAATATACTTCGTAAGACATAAAATTATCTGATATTTTATCTAAAAAAAACTTTATCTTTATTAAAAACAAAGGATAATTTGTAAGACTTTGCCGACTCTATTATTAATTATTGGCTATTAATTTAAATATCACTTTTGTATAGGTATAACACAATATAAACTCTGAATAAATCGTTATAAGTTTGAAATTTGAGACATTAGTGGCAAATCTAACGATAAGATCGACTGCACACAAGCAACAAAGAAATGCAGCATCATCTTACGTACGTATTACATTTTATCATGCATTGCTATTATTATTTAGATAGTGTTTAAATGCGTGTCAAATTAATGCTGAATTTTTCTGTCGTTCGTACGTATATGCAGCATGCTATGAAATTAATATGTCAACTGACGTCTCTAGGCTTAGGATGGCTGCAGAGCGGCAGGTATGATATCATCTCATGATATGAGAACTCATCTTTCTCTGTACACTGTATCGCGCCGTCGAGCATCAAAGCTCTCCCATGTGATTTTCTGCAAAAGCAACACATATTTTTACATTTAAATCATATCTTACATTAAAAATATAACACCGTCTTAACAAGATTTTGCGCTATTGTGAAAAGAATTTACTCACGTTTTTACTACCAGGATTTCTTGAAATCGAGAACGCTCGGAATGCAGAACTTCTTCTACCTTCAACGAAAGTGCAATGCCAGGCCAAAGATCGCTCACTTCACTGAACCAACCCGATTTCATAATATCCATATTGGCGTAGTTTGTCGGATTATTTGCCAAACTATACTCTGCGTGGAAAATTCTAGAACAATGTGGAAATGAAGCTAAAGCAAACGTTAGATGTACATAGCGATAAAGCTAGAGCACACATTGGTTCCGAAAACGTCATTGAGATGCACACAGCTCGGAACAAAAGCTTGGAGCGTTGTTATTGAAGGTGAAATAATTCTATGGATCTGGCAAACTTTGTACAAAGAAGGAAAGAAGTTTGCTGACATAATGCACTTTATGCTGCCGTAATAAATTTCGTTCAATTTTTATATGAGTAGCAAAAGATTTGTACTTCGATAGTTTCTATTTGCAAATTATTTCGCTATAAGATAACAGATTGATTCTTTTGCCATTACTGACAAGAGAATTTGCTACAATAATAAAATATAATGACAAATTAGAAAGATTGTGCTTTTTTTTCTCTCTCTCTCTCTCTTTCTCTTGGCTCCAAAAATTTAAAAACAATCAAGTTCATATAATTACGATAATTTCAGCGAAGCATTTAATTTTTAATTATTTTTTATAGCAGAAAGAAATGTGAAAGAATCATTACAATGACTTTGTTTTTGTCCTATGATATGTTAAATACATTAAAATACAAAATTTTCATAAAGTAATGTTTCTGTTTTAAGTGTATTTACAAATTTAAAATTAAATTGTATAACGTGAAGTACTAAACGATAAGTTTTTCATTTTATTTAAATTGAATTTTGATAAAGATGTTTAGATCAGTTTGATAAGAAGGTTTCCTTTTTCTTCCTATATACAAATATATAAAACATTTCAAAAAAGATTTCTAGTTATAATTATTTTGCCATAAATTCGATCACAACTAATAAAACATTTCTACATTACACACGTAATCTATGCTAATTAAATTACTTAATTGCGTAATCCTTATAATTTCTGCCAAGTATATAATACATGCAATATTAACGAGTATATTGCAAAAAAATAATTCTTGATAAATATTATCTTCCACATACATAATTAATACTTCTGTTAATCACATTTTAAGATTATTACGTAAAGCATTATCGTAAGATACGAGAGAAATTTATAATGATATATATTTATAGAGTTATTTTGAATTACTTCTTGAATTACTTCACTGTAAATGCAAATAAATTTATAAGCACAAATATAATCACGAAACAATTTAGTGATATTAATAGTGTGCGAATGAAATATTAATTTTAATAAATAATTTTTTAAACAAAATTTTTGAAGTTTTATATTTTAATTTTTGAGCATAAACATTTAAACATTTACAACAATTTTACTATAAAATTTTTTTAATTTCTTTGAATAAAAAATAAACGATATACATAATCGGAACCCAACTTATCGGTTAGTAAATTAAAGAAACCACGTGTGGCATTCGTCAGCAATGCAATAATAATTAGGTAATTCATTAATTATAGATGCTACGACTTACTTCGTTTATCGATGATGTGCTAATATCGTTATAAACGTCTAAGAGATATCCTTTGGATTGTGCGTCGTTTAGAGAAATTCGCGGCGTATTTTGTCATGACATGCATACAATATGTCTGTATCCAAGCATGTAAAATGATAGATTGTCTAGGATGAACGTAGCTCGCCCGAAGGAAGCTTGAGTTAAACTGAGACGAAGATGTGCGTAGCTCTATAGTTTCTCTTTATAACTAACTTGACTGTTTGGAGTGTTTATCGTCTGCTAACACGCTGCCTGATAATGTGATGAGACTGATAAAGGTTTCTTCACATTAGGCGAAGGCACGCTTCAAATTATTTACGTGACGTATACGAATTACAACATTAATGATATTAAATAATAATAAATTTTTCTCTATAATATTTAAAAAAAAATTATCTCTTTTTGTTTATACATAACGAAGAAATGATATGATTCAATACAATGTTTCTTATAAGAAATAAAAAGAATGGATGTGTATGGCATAAAATATCTTTATGAATGCCAATTATATCTAATACAATTAATGCATTTGACTGTATACATACTGGCTGAAAATGTAGCTCTTCTTGTGTATCACTCTGATGCACGAAAATCTTGCTGGAAAATATTTTTCACAATGTGAGAAACACAACGTGTTTAGTATGAATGGGCCCTGCTAACACATGCGGACCACTAGATAGTAGATAATACGCTTGAACTTTACTCTTCGTTTTCAAAGACATGCGTACTCTCAACAGAGCGAGCCACTAGAAACAAAAAATAAAGACAAACACTTTCTTTTATATAAAAGAAATGAAACGTTTTTTTTCAGTGCTACCTGAGTCTTTGAATTTTAAATTCAAAATACTGGCAGTTAAGACCTCTGGCAAAATGCTATCAATATGGTATGTGTTCAGGTAGATTTTAGTCTATACCTAAGTGAAGTTCAGTTCAAAAAGTTAAGCCATTGCTTATATTGTAAAATATTTTGAAAAAGCATAATTATCACAATAATTATTAAACTTTTTTAATTAAGAGATTTTAATTAGGACCTCACCTAGTATCCTAATTAAAAGACATACACATAAAAAAGTAAACTCTCTTGTAAAGATAATGATTATAAAATAACATATTTTTTTGAAAGGGAAAAATATAATTAAAAGGAGATCGAATGTAAACAGAAAGCTTTTATCAGAGAATTACGATTTCCGTAATCACTGTGAGAAAATTAGATCTGCTGCACGTTTCGCTGTGCGTTTAAGACTAGACTTACACAAGCTCATGTTAAAATCTTATGTTTTGGAAAGAAGAATTATACTATATTACAATATAATTTTTTATTTTATTTATAATTTCGTATATATAATGTATTAAATTTTTATATTTATGCCTAGAATTACACTTTTATATTTATATGCCCGGAATAATACTTATTTAAGCATATATTAGAATAAATATGCATTTTTTATGTATGTTCTGATATATACATATATGTCTAAATCCCGTATACATGCTTAATTGTAAGTGTGAGCTTATATATACACGTTTCAAGACCCTGCGTTGGTCACCAACTATAGATTCTTTAAACTTTGTTCAGTTATCCCTGAAATTCCATTGCATCTACTTAACCCTCGGGCCATAACGTTGGTCTGTCGAACTGTTACCCACATTTTAAAAGGTTGATTTGTCTATTTTTACTTTTCAGATAATAATTAGTAATTTTAAAATATCTTGTTGAAAAATATCTTTTTTAAATTTTATCTTTTTTTATTAATATTTTTTCAAAGAATTTAAAAATTAGATTAACATTTTTGACTGCTTTTCTATAAATGTTGTGATCTATTAAACTATCGTTATTGTAAATGATATAAAAGTCATATTAGCTTTAACGACAATTTATTCACGATTATTATATTTTTTAATAATAATGATAATTTTTATCTTGCGTTGTTTTCTTGCTTCCTACATTATTGCTATTGTTATAATAGAAATCTGTAGTTTCAACAGACGATAAACTATAGTAAGGCTTAGATTAAAATTTCTGTAAAAAATTATTTAACTCATCTTAAATAGCACGAGTTGATGTGAGAGTAAAGTTTTATACATTTTAAATAATACAGCAAAAGTTATAAAATATATTTGAATATTAATACAAGAGTGTTAAAATAAGGTAAGACATCCTTTTGCACACAGTATTTTTTACTATTCATTACATAAGAACTTAAAAAAATTTTAAATTTAAAAAAAAATTCTTTGTAGCTATGATATATTATTAATAGTTCAAATTAATAGTTTAATTAATAGTTCTTACTTTTGAAGTAAACATAATCAAATATAAATATTAATATTCACAATTCTCGTTTCTTCTTATGCAAGAAAATAAATTATAATATTACAATTTTTTTTTTAATTTGCAAGTTTTCTTGAATCTCTATGTATAATAATAAGGATGGACACATTTTGCGCCGATATTAAAAATGAGCCAATATTGGGGAATTAAAATGTGATAAATATATCATATTTTATTATCATTTTATTAAATTCCAAATTTTATTTTTCTAAGCTTTCTATCATCAATAATATCTTATATAGTAAAAGTTGCAAGGTTTTAAATCATAATTCAATCGATATTTCTAAATTCTATTATTTCTTATCGTGAAATTTTATATGAAGTCTAGGACATTCCGTATACATGCGTAATATCTTTGAATTGCGACTACATTCTTGATAATATATCGCGCTGAGTGCATCAGGGTCAAAGGATCAAAGCACTTCATTAACTCGGTTGTCATATGTTAGAAACTGAGAATCTACTGCATGGTTTATAACGCTTTCAACTTATTTTCAGGTCATGCGACTCGGTCGCGGTTTCCCATCTGGCGACTGCGCGAGAACGTAAATGGAGACGAAAACGAAGATAGAAATCTCGACAGCCCTCCTTAAGCAACGAAGGAGTGGCGCCAGCAATCCCTCCTTTTATGAAATTACAAAGGTGAGTAGAGATACTACTGAGATTAATCTCGCTCTCTGTCTTCTCTTTCGCGCGATCAACTCGGCCCAGTTTCTGCTTCCTTGCTTAACTGATATAATCCAGGAATTGGAAAAATAAAACAAACCTTTTCCCCATCAGTACTTTCTAACAAGATCCGCTTGTTGAATTCGCCGTTCCTTTCTGGCAGGAAGTGGCGTGAAACATTTATATTTTAAAGTGTAAAATCTAAACTGATGTAGCAAATATTAATGAAACTAAAATTACAATTTCTTTATATATATCTACAATTAGATGCGATATAGTCAATTCTCTACTTTATCCGATCTCTCAGATTCTCCGATATCCGGAATCTTCCGGATAATATGAATGCAAATATGTAGAGAACTGATCTGAGTTTATTAATTTTTTTTCTGGAACCGGAAGCCATTCTAATAATACAGAAAATTGAACAGAGAGAATGCATATATAAAATATATGTGTATAATAAATTCTGTAATTAATTTTAACGGAGATCGATAACTTATGAAGATCCGCGGGTCTTCGACGTTAACTTAATAACAATAATGTCGATTTTTTCTCGCGGCTATCAATATCCCTTTCCTGCCTGCTCAGTGTACCAATATATTTTCGCGCAGAAACTAATACGTCGGGCAATACGTTGGAAACTTACGTATCAGATTTACGCTATCCGGGGTGCGGAGAAACGACGTTAGATACATCAGTTAAAGTCGATCGTAATTACGTCGGCGTTCGTGAAATATGTGCGCGCTTCAAAAAGCGTTAGCCCGACAATATCTCACAATCACGCGCCTCGTTATCAGTAAACGCCGCTTTATCCGGCGGAAAGCTCTCGTGAGACAATAACGAGGCAAGAGTGTTACCGCGCGAATTCCTCCCTCGCACAATTTTATATGGCTTTTATGAATGTGCTCTTTATATGTGTATATATATATATATATTCGTATATATATTCGCAAATTTTTATGATAAAAGCTGATGCCCGTAGCGCCCTTTCGATGAAAATGTCGATTTACCCTTGACGTAAAACGCTTTGATGCGGCGTTTATCAAAGCGTGCTCCTACGCATCAACTGGCTGTCCGAATACGTGCCATCGATGGGCATTGACTGGTAAAATCACGAACGAGGATGGGGCCCGTTTTATCGCGATCATCCATTACATCATGTTAAGAGTATATGAATTCATATAAAAATGACACGTGAAAATAAAAATATTTAGGGTATCTAATTAATTTTTACGTAAATTATATAAAGATAATATAATTCAAATGTTATTTAAAAAAGAGATTTATGATAGCATAAAATTAAGATTATTTTTGACATATCATTAACTATTTTTATTGTTGAAAATTTGTCTACAGTTAGGCACAGTCTATGGTTAAGACCTATAAAAAAGATTTTGCTATTATAAATTCGATGTATGTATGATTTCATTTTCCACAAAATTACTTTTTGTAATGAAAAACTCATTAATGAGTCCTTGATTGTGACGTAGGTTGCACCATTGTTCTTGTGGACACAACAAATCACTGATAGTGACGAGATAAAAAAAAGTAAAAGGAAATAAAAGTCTATAGACAATGAATCAATGCTTCAAGTGCTTTTCCATGTGATTAATACAATCATTTTTGTAGACAGCTTTTACAATCACAAACTTTTACAGCTTCAAAAAGTTAATTAGCAAAAATTGATTAAAAATAATAGATTTCCTGAAAAATAAAATATTTCGATTGCACTATAGTTTCTAAGTTAATTTAAAATTTAATATTTAGTCGCTTTTATATTAAAAAAGTATATATAAATTATACTTTTTCTATCTATTTTTATTTCTAAAAAATGATATAATATATATAAACTGTGAATTTATTAATAATAAATTAATATATCAACAATATTTTCTTTGACGAGAGATACATAAACACATTCTAATAAATCTCTAATTTTCATCTATAATACCAAAAGTACAGAAATTCAATTATTGAGATTATATGAGGTATTTAAAGGATTAAAATAAAAGCTGGCACTCCGATTATAAGCCATATTTGCAAATCAGAAACTAAGGCACTACGGCGACACTTCTCATAATCGTTCAGACGGATTCACGTGCGTCTGTACAAGACGATACGAAACTACTGCCAACGATGGGGAAGACGCGGAACAAGGATCGCCACGAATATAGAGAGACAGAGAAACGGAGATGTAAACAGATAAAGAAAAAGAGACAGAGAAAGAGAGAGAGAGAGAAATCCAAATAC